GGAAGGAAGGAAGGAAGGAAGGAAGGAAGGAAGGAAGGAAGGAAGGAAGGAAGGGCATCCATCTATGAACAGATATTTTCAACATTCTATTCTTCTGACTATTTACTAAAAAATGAATAAATACGAATCTAGAAAGATAAAATGTTTATCTGGGAGAAGGTTGGTATTTTGAGAATGCAATATTGTCTTATTTGACAGAAGCTAATCTCGTACTACTTGCTCAAAGCACTGGATCACTACAAGCAGGGGAAATTTAGTTTTTCTTCTACATGTCCCTGAATGCAGTCCTTTAATATATTCGGAAGGTTGCCTCTTATGCAGTCACAGGATAGACCAGAAGCTAGTGAGAAGAATGCTTTCCCCTGAGAAACTAGTCTGAAGTTATTTTCCCTACTCCCTGAACTGTTACGTTAATGGGGGATAAGAGGGAAGAATTGTTTTATTTCCTCTTTAGAGGCTGGGGCCATGCTTAATTTGATTCATGGCTAGGTTGAAAAAGGTAGCTATGAATTTATCTCTTGTTCTGCATAGGAGGCAGAAAAGATCAGGGACAGTGAGATTACAACTCTTGAACTCTTCCATGCTCTGTCAAATTGGATGGCACTTTAGCCAATGTGAAATAAAAATATAGATCTATATGTGCTACAGTCTGAAAAATAAACTAGACTATTTCTATCAATATAGAATTTTCTGATAAAGTTTAGATATTACTGATAAAAATGTATATCTATAAATAGTGTTGCTAAATCAAAATGACCACTTTTATGTATATGGCTATGTATCCATGCACTTTTATGTATATGGTTATGAAGCTGGGATGCTAGAAAATAAGAGAGTTCTGTTTTATTGTATGCACTGTCATATTCTGCAATAGACATTCTATCAGTATAAAAAGGAGGACGCATCAACATTTTTGACTAGAAGATACTAATTTTTGAACCCTACTGCTTTACAAGTGAGAAGAAAAAATACTTCTGAAAATCATGCCAGAATTAATAACATTATTGTCTTGTTTAAAATCTGGTAAAGTCAACAACAATCTTTTGCACTTTGATTCAGATAGTCTGGTGTCACCCATCCTTATCTCAAAACAATTGCCATTCCAAGCAGTTGGCACATTTCAGCACTTTGGCAAGCTGCAGAAGCCTCTATGTATTAAAACTACTGCTGAAGCCAATCCAACACTTAGGAGCCACATTCCTGTGGAAGCCCTCTGAATACTTTCTCCAGAACCAGCTGTGGAAGGGCTGGCTGGCTGAACTCAATCTCTTGCATAAGCAGGAACATGCAACTTTCTTTGCAGCTACCATTTTTAAGAGACTATAGGAAATGTAACTGGTGATACTGAGCAAGGCTCTCATTCCTGATCC